CTTTTTGCTGTTGTTTTCCAGTGCTGGGAATTGACGCTATGACATTGCAGACGGCTCCACCCCGAGCTGTGTGCTCATGGAGTTGCGTGGTAGGCGTGTGCTTCTCTGCTGAGCTGGGACCCCTAAACTTGAATCTTGGCGGGTCATAGTTTAAGTACAAATTAGTACTTTTGGATTACAAGTTTCTCTGAAATCCTAGGACAAAAAAGCCCTCTAAGGCTACTGTAAGAGGTGACAAGGGAGGCAGAAAGCAGGGACTTGGAATTGGGGGTGGGGTGGGGAGGGGTGATGGAGGGAGGGTTTGAAGCACACTAGAACCTAAAGAATTTTAACTGGACTCATTTTTAACTCTGTGGTTGTGGGCAACCTAAAGCTCTACGATTTATCCCCAATGTGTGAATGTTATGGAAGAGATCTTCCCAGAAATTGAAAGGAATATACAATACCTCTGATACAAAAATATGGGTATGGGTTGGTTCAAGTAGAACTGACTATGCTTTGATATGAGCATCTCAAATCTAAGAACCCCATTAGACTTAAGTCTTGAGCCAAGCCAGTGGTACAGCTTGGTCCATCTAGTCAACACCAAAGACACTTGCTTTAGATATATGCAATGGACACCAAAATGACTCAGGTAGACTTATTTCTAGGATCTTGACCTACGATTCAGGGTATCTCCCCTTGATTGGATAAGCTGACGGCGGGAGTGTTAAGAGAACTGATGAGAAGGTGTAAGGAAGAAGTTCTTTGAGTATGTAGCGATCTCAGATGTCAGGCTGATGCCAAGGTCTGGGAAAGGAAGGAGTGTGCTATCTTTGAAATTTAGAAGGCAGCTGAAAGAGAAAATGGTTGGGTTGGGCAGAAGGTTAAGAATAAAAACAACCCTCTAAGTTTAGCACAGGGTCTAGAATACTTTTCCAAAACCCATTTAATCCTCTCAATAACCTTGCAAGAAGACACATTTGAGCCCATTTTACAAAAGAGAAGACAGGTTTTCAGCAACGGAACTACTGACTTGCCAAACTCCTAGGGGAATGGCAGAGCCTGCATGGACCCATTTTTTTTTTTTTTTGTCTGAGCTGGGGGTATATCACTTAGTGGTAGAATTTCTGCTTTGCATTTACAAGGTTCAGGGTTCAATCCCCAGCACCCAAAAAGAGAAAAAAAAAACCTTATGCCTGTGATATTGTAGCTCACTAGTAATAGGAAGCTCTGGAAAAGATTGTGAGAAGAAGAGAAACATTTTTTTTTCTGATTGTGTTGAAGAAAAAGAACTTTAGTTTGTGATACAAGTATCAGGATAAGTTTCATGAGATATTTCTGGTAAAATTTTGTGGTTTTTAAAATTTATTTTATGGTCAAGGTGATGTACAGAGGGGTTTCAGTTACATACATAAGGTAGTATTATTTGTTGTCCAACTTGTTACCCCCTTCCTTATTTTTCTCCCACTGTTGTTGTTTTTATTTGGAGACACATTCTTCCTATGTATCCCAGGCCAGCCTCAAACTTAAGATCTTCCTTTTTCAGACTCCAGAGTGATGAGATTATAGGCAGATGTTCCTATGTTGAACAATTAGATGTTTTCATAAAAACATCTCTTTATGAAAAGATTCCATCCAATAGAGCTTTTTAAAAGACACACAGTATTTTACACTTTCTAATACTCACATTAAAAAATAAAAAGAAACAAATGGAATTAATTTGATGATATATTTTATTTAATTCAATATTGTCATTCCAACATGAAATCAGTATAGAACTTGAGGAATTTTCCATATTTGGGGGTACTAAATCTTTAAAGTGCAGCATGTATCTTAAACTTAGAGGGAATTTCAATTTTGTACCGACCACATTTCAAGTGGCCAATAGCTGCTACGGTTCCTGGCAACCATAGAGACCATATAGATATGCAGAAGAGTAAGATCCAAGGAGTTTTCTGCACATCTCAATCCTGAAAAATAAGCGATTAAGAGGTAGACTCCTAGAAATAATCATGGACTAAGAAGAATCTCCAAGTGAGATGCTATTTGAGGTCTTTAACCTCAAATGCAGCACAAGGTTGGGACACAGTTCAGTGGTAGAGCACTTGCCCAGGTATGCATAAGGCCCTGCATTTGACTTCCAGCACCACAAAATAATAATAATAATGATAATGATGATGATAATGTGCAGTGCCAAAAATATGAAAGTGACAAATTGTTTGAGAGAAACTGAATAAGCACTAACTACTCTTCTTCCATCATGCCCAACAGGCCAAGTTAGTTTCACAAAAGGCCAAATCTGCAGAACATCAGATGACCTTGCAAGAAGAGAATCCCTACAATTGTAATGAACCACTAGGAGAAAACCAACAGCCTATGATGTAGACAAACGGCGTTACTACAGGTTAAGCACTCCTAATCCCCAAATCCAAAAGGCTCCAAAATCCAAAACCTTTGTGAGTGCCAACATGACATTCTGAAATGGGACATTCCACCATGAAACTTGGTTTCATCCACAAAGTTATGAAGAAGTATAATACAAAAGTACTTTCAGGCTATGGGTGCAAGGTGTGTGTGTGTGTGTGTGTGTGTGTGTGTGTGTGTGTGTGTGAGTGTGTGTGTGTGTACACAGCATAAAGGAGTTTCACACTTAAGACTTGTGCCCCATCTCCAAAATAGCTCATTATGCAAAGGTCAAATACTCAAAATCTTAAAACAAAATATTCCAAAGCACTTGTGGTTCCAGGCATTGCAGATAAGAGATTTTAGGCATTTCTTGATTTTTCTCCTATCAGAAGCTGAAAAAGCTAATTGAATGAAAAGGCCACCAGACTCGACCAGGGGATCTTCCTACAGCTAGCACTGGCTTCTGAGCCCCATAAAACATTTGCTAATTCTGCTGGAATTATTTCTTCAGTTGAAGAGCCAGCAGTGTTTTTCTGTTGTTGATGATATTAACAGAAGATTGAGGGGAATGAAGACAAGTATTTTTCTTCCAGAATGCTACGTATATAATAATATTCTTGAAAAACGTAGTCATTATTATCACCTGATCCTAGTGTCTGCGGAGGGAGGAAGACATTCCATGATACTAACTACTGACTGATAAGATCACTTCTTATAAATTGCCTAATTTTGTGACTAATTTAATGAATAAAGATCTAGGTTTTAAATCATTTCTCTTTGATTGTAGAAATTAAATCTGGAGATCAAGAAGGCAACCATTTCAACTTTTTCTTCCCAACTTTTAAATTCTTTCACAAAATACCAGGTAGTTTAGGAAGATTAAAAAAAAACAAAAAACAAAGAACAAAAAAACACCAGCCTTCATGGCATTTTTTCAGATGACAGTGGTTTTCGTTCAGTTTTATCTACTTAGGCTATAAATCACCAGGTATCTAAAAGTTAGTTGCTTTGTAAAAATGTTTTTAGCCTTTCCATCAGGGTCTTGCTATGAAGTCCAGACTGGTCTCAAATTCATGATTTTCCCACCTCAGCCTAAACTCCCCTCCCCTGTCCTTCCTTTCTTCTTCCCCTACCCCTTTTTTTTCTTTCTTTTTTGATAGTACTGGGGTCTGAACTCAGTGCCTAAAACTTGAGCCACAGAGCCACTTGTGGTTTTTTGGTGGCTTATTGGAGATAAGAGTCTCATGGACTTTTCTGCCTGGGCTGGCTTTGAACCACGATCCCAGATCTCAGATTCCTGAGTAGCTAGGATTACAGGTGTGAGCTACCGGCGCCCGGCAAGCCTAAAACTTTCCAGGCAGATACTCTACCACTTGAGCCATTTCCTTAGTCCTTTTTGCTCTAGCTGTTTTTCAGATAAGGTTGGTGTTTTTTGCTCCCCCTGTGCTGGGAGGCGGGGCTTACCTTGGAACACAATCCTCTTACCTATACCTTCCAAGTATCTTCTCTTACCTATACCTTATGCCTTCCAAGTTCCTGGGATCACAGCTGTATGTTGCCCCACCTAACCCTTCAGCTAAGACATTCTTTATGTACCAGAGCTTGAACTCACTGTTGGAGCTCCACCATTTGTGCGATGCCTCTAGCCTTAAGACATTCTTAAAAGATGTAAATGATGGGCTGGGAAGGTGGCTCCGTGGTAGAGTGCTTGCCTTGCATGCATGAGGCCCTGGGTTCGATTCCTCAGCACCACATAAGCAAAAAGAAAAAAAGCCAGAAGTGGCGCTGTGGCTCAAGTGGTAGAGCACTAGCCTTGAGCTGAAGAGCTGAGGGACAGCGCCGAGGCCCAGAGTTCAGGCCCCATGACCGGACCCCCCACCCCCAAAAAATGTAAATAGTCCCTTTCAGAAGTCCAGGTAGAAGTAAAAGCAAACCACCTGTTTCTCCAAGTTATTTCTTGGGGTTCCTTTAGAGACAGATGGGTGTAGGGGGTTGGGGGGTCTATATCTTCATAAATACATTACTTGCTTTCTTCATACCATTTATATATTTATTTATTTGTCTGAGCCATCTCATAAATTACATTCCCTTTTAAAAAAAAATAAGACTATCTTGGCTTCCTTGGCTTTGGCATATGATTCTATACACGATGTTAAGAAGATGCTGATACAAGTCTCATTATTTCTTTTTCTAGCTCATAAGTTCAAGAGCCAAGTGATCTAAAAAGATCACCAGGATTTACAAAACTAGACATGATGACACAAGCCTGTAACTCTAGTACTTGGGAAGTTGAGGTAGGAAGACCACAAATAGCAAGACCTTAGCTCAAAAACAAACTGAAACATTAGGCTTTGGAAGAGGATAGAAAGGAAGAAGGAGGGTGAGACCTTTTTGAACTCCACTGAGAATCATTTGAGGAACGAAAGGCCCAACACTCTAGTCTTAGTGGCATTTGTATATGTCCTTGACTCAACTGTGGGCCAAATCCTGACTGGTAGAAGATATACAGTCACATCCCAGAACAGCCTCTGTAGCTCAAGTCCTCCCCCACCTCTGCCCCACTGCTGTTCTGACCAAAGGAAAAACAGTGCGACTGCCATTTTTCAGATTACCTTGATTCGGGGTATTTGGTGAGGGTAGCCAGGCTGCTGGTATACATGTGGCCTCCCACATCAATGTGGACGGGCGCGTTGGACTTGGTGAGCTGTGCTGGCGTAGGGATGCCTTGGTTGTTCAGTGGAGATGCAGGGGATCTAGTGATCAGAGGTCTTGACATATTGGGTCGACTGTCCTACAGAGAGATAAGCAAGTTTAGACATCTTTTCTCTTTTCAGTGGAAAGGAAGCACATAGAACATTAAAAAAAAAGTATGCCAGTGACTAAAATTGATATCCACCTAGTAAGAAAACCTAGGAAATCCCCAAGCTCTCTTGCTTTTATTATAATGATCATCGGCAACACAATCTCCATAAAAAAAAAGAAGGGACAACTTCATGTGTTCAAAATCTAGAGCTGAATTAGTTTTCATCTAAAATAACTCTGAGGGCCCATCAGTGCTTAATATACTAATGAACATTGAATGATGGAAAAATGGCATGTGGAGAAATTCTACTCATCCCAAGTGAAAAGATAATAAATGCTTAAAACAATATGTATTGAAATAAAATATGTGTGACAGATAATTTTCTTTGGAAACTTCCTTGTTGCTATGTACGTGAAATGAAAACAGGCCTTCAGCACTTGTGTTCTACGACGCATTTTCTTAAGTCTTTATTTTTTGAATCAGGAAGAAGGGGGCATAATTGGCCTAGTCATTAGCTCACACACATTGCAACCCTGAAAAGAGGCATGGAAAGTTTGTTATCACTAGATTAAAACAAAAAATCTACTGATGTTCTGCCTACTTGTCTCCTGTTTCTTCCCCCTATAAAACTATAAGTCTGGGGTGGCTCAGGAAAAGGACATACTCTCAGGGTAAGACATGGTAAGATACAACTATAATCCCAGCTACGCAGGAGGTGGAGTTAGAAGGATCAGTAACTGAGACTTGTCCAGTTAAAAGCATGAGATGCTATCTGCAAAATAAAAACAAGTGGTAGAGTGCCTGCCTAGCATGTGTGAGACGCCAACTCCAATCCCTAGTACCATGAAAGAAAGAAAAAGGGAAAGCGTGGAGGAAGAAAATATGGAAGACAGGAAGGAAGGAAAGGAGGGGGGGAGGAATGAAGTAACGAATGAAGAAAAGATGCTCCTCAGGTAATAAATGTATTCTTGTAAACCATGAGCAAGCTACTCTTCTAATCGCAGACTCCTGGAGGACATGAAGCCCCCAAATTGGCAGATGCTACTGTGGCCATGTGTTAGGAGAGAAGCACAGGTGTGATGTGAGCAAGCAGACCTGGAAGAGGGCAGCACATGGTAGCAATGAGAACGTGTTTAGGAAACTAGTCTAGAGAAAATATAAAATTACATCTTTCCCACAGACATGACATAGATGCCTAAGACAATATTCAAACATGCCTGATCATTTCCTAATTAGAGCCCAAGCCACACACAAGTCAAGTCTTGGCACTCACATAATGGGTCAAGTATTTAGAGACTACAATCCAGGATTAGGCTGAAATATCATTTGTCTATGAATCCTGACAACATACACATACTCTCAGATTTATAATCTAGCCAGACACTATTTTCAACCACACAAACAATGTGCACCAGAGCCAGTGAGAGGCATACTAAGGGGATTCTGAAAAATGTCTTTGATGGAGATTACAAAGGGGAAGTCACTTAGGCCCTGTGTTTAAAACGCAGCATGATAAAATATAAATTTGCAAAACATCAGAAGTTTTCCGATGTGGAACAGCTTGAGGAGTTACCTGGGGCTCAACTGTTGGACTACTTAGCATTAACCACATGTCCAAGCAAGACTGTGGTGCACATGTGCCTTGAAATTCAACATCCACCAGGAAAGAGTGAGGTGGAGCCTTGGCACACAGTGTTTGCCATCTGTATGGGGCTCTTTTGCATGCCAGGTTAAACAGCCCAGAAACCAGGAGAGAAACTGAGATCATCTTTTAGTTCTTATATTGGGTGGTCGATTTGTGGGTGTTAACTATAGACTTTTTTCTATACTCCTGTGTAAATTTCAAAAAAAAAATGCAAAGTAGAGATTAAAAACACAAAAGGGTGTTTGCAGCACACAATGGAAAAGAGCAAAAGGTAGTAGGAGAAATTTAAAAACTCCCAGGTGGAAAAAAAAAAAAAAACTCCCAGGTGGTTGGACATACACAGTAGAAAAGGTTCAGCCAGTCACTAGTGGCTCACACCTGTAATCTTGGCTACTCAGGAGGCTGAGATCTGAGAATTGCAGAGCAAAGCCAGCCCCAACAGTGAAGTTTTTGAGATTCTAATCTCCAAACACACACACACACACACACACACACACACACACACACGAGTGCACGCACACACATGCACCAAACTGGAGCTGTGGCTCAAGTAGTAGAGCACAAAAAGCTTTAGCTTTGAGCACAAAATCTCAGGGACAGCACCCAGGCCCTGATTTTAAGCCCAGGACCACCATAAAAACAAAAACAAAATAGAAAAGGCTCAGAAGTACTGAAAGAGAAACATTTTCAATTCTGCATAACAGAAAACATATTTTCCCTTAACAAAAAAAGTTCTCAAATAATGTCCACTTTCAAGAGATATATATTACCTGACTTTCTGTTCAAAAATGATTTCCTGGCTGTGCACATGCACGCGTGTGCACACACTCGCGCTCACACACACATACACACGCACGCGCGCGCACACACACACACACTCCTATCTGCAATTCAGTCCATTATAGCACTGCAATGTCTGTAATAGTTTTTCAATTGGACACATTCTATATGCTGCCTGAGGGTGCTCAGGCAAAAATGAACAGATTTGCAGGGTTAATATTGTCATTAGACTGTGACCTCATTCACACAGATCTAATGCTGTGAGGTCTATACAGAAAGGGAGATTGAGGCATCACTGATGGGCTGAAGGATTACAGATTTCTCAGAAGGCATAGTTTGCATTGTAAATCAGAAATGGGTGGGTACTGATAAATAAAAAAAACAAAACCAGCATTTCTTCATCTGGAATGGAGGGGGGAGGGAGTAACCCCTCAGAGCAAAGGTTGCATGTTGCCTTGTCTTCATCTGGACTTTGGGGTTTGGGATGTGACACCTCTACTTACCATTCAGCAGCCTAAGGATGAAGCTGATGCCCTGGGTGTCCAGTCAGAGAGTTGTAAAGAATCAGGATCCTCACTGACTTTGTGGTTATATTTTATTAGTGTGAAGTAATTGTTCACAGGAGTTTTGTTGTGATATTTCCTTACATGCATAAAATGTAATTTGATCAAATTCACCCCCTCAATGTTCTTCCTTATGCCCTTTCAACCGTCCTGCCCTGTACAGTTAAAAAAAAAAACAAAAACAAAAACTATTTAGCCAGGCGCCGGTGGTTCACGCTTGTAATCATAGCTACACAGGAGGCTGAGATCTCTGAGGATCTGTGGTTCAAAGGCAGCCTAGGCAGGAAAAGTCCATGAGACTCTTTATCTCCAATAAACCACTCAGAAACCCAGAAGTGGCACCATGGCTCAAGTGGTAGAGCACTAGCCTTGAGCTGAAGAGCTGAGGGACATTGCTCAGGCCCAGAGTTCAAGCTCCACCATATATAAAACAACAACAACAACAAGAACAACAAACCCGGGCTGGGAAGGTGGCTCAGTGGTAGAGCGCTTGTCTTGTATGCTCGAGGCCCTGGGTTCGATTCTTCAGCACCACATAAGCAAAAAGAAAAAAGCTGGAAGTGGCAGTGTGGCACAAGTGGTAGAGCGCTAGCCTTGAGCTGAAGAGCTGAGGGACAGCGCCCAGGCCCAGAGTTCAGGCCCCACAACCGGACCCCCCCCCCAAAAAAAGAACAACAAACCCATTTAAACAGTTTTTAGTGTGTATCATTATACTCTTTGCATACACAGATATGAAGAACTTGGATCAGTCATCCCCCATCCTATCACCCTCTCCTTTCATCCTTCCCCTCACTGGCTCCCTCTTCCTTGAACAGTCTTTTAACAAGTCATTCTTTTTTTAGGTGTAGATTCAGTGTTTGAGAAAAACCCCAATATGTGTCATTCTGAGATTGGTTAATCTCACTCCTCACTGGCATTGTGGAAGCGTGGAAACCAAGCAGCTTTGAGCCTTTGATCTCCAGATTTCATGTTATTTGGGATAACTGTCTTTATTTTTAAAGCTAGTCTGAGTGGGGATGTCTGTCTTCTGACTTGGTAGGGTGAACTTCTTGGTACCCACTGCCTTCCTGTAAGGTGGTGTGGCCCTGGGACACCTGGCCTGTTATGCTATGAACAGCTGCTTGTTGATGGTGCAGCAGAATTTTCTACCATATTATCTCCGCCTTTAACTCTACTTTCCATCTGCCTTTCCCTTTAGTCACTCGCCCATAAGCCTCTCAGTCTGCATATGTCTTTCAGTATTACTTCTAAAGACAGGAAAACCACAAACTTTAACCTGAGGCGTGCAAAGGACTTGGATGTGCCATTGCTCAACTGAAGAAGCACTGAAGACAGACAGCTGTCTCTACTGGACCATTTTCTGGAACTGTTTCTTCTTCTGGGGGGAAGGGACTCTTCCTTTCCTGACATTTAAGCTATGTAGTCATCACCCACCTTCTTCTGTGTGTGGCCCATGATTCCTCCCTGCCACCACATTCTAAAGCACCTCCTGAGTGCCAGGCACTGTAACCGATGGTGGCTAGACAGGTCCCTGGCCTTACTAGGCCTGTACAATAATGGCAGAAGGAGGCCAGATCATTAAGGCAGCTTAGTGGAGAATCATTTCACCAAGCCTTGAGGGCAGAGAGGGAAGTTGGGAAGGACAAAAGGGACAGTCAAAGTTGAGGCCTGATATATAAGAAGTTAGCAAACATTGAGATACTGAAAGGAAGTACTCAAGCAGCATTAGCAAGGCCCCCAAATGGAAGAAATTAAAGGTCCATTACAATGTGAAGTTTCAACTACTACTAATATAGGGTATGAATTCCTATGGGAGGATGATGATGGTCTGAGAATTGATCATTTATAGTGGGGAAATAAGAACGATAACATTTTCTTGTCTGGAGAACAGGAGGAAGAGAAAGGGAACTAATAGTTTTCTACACAGTGCTGTCCAGTGGGCCTTATTGCAGTAATTGGGTATATTCTCATCAATGTGAGCACCATGGTGGCTACAGGCC